AATTATGGTGAACCAACAAGATTCTCTATGCAAAATCTGTTCAGAAGTGGGTTTGCCTTTGACTCCAACTGAGAGAAAAAAATTGTATGAATTTATTTTCAGTATTTCTATTCTGCCCTTCTCACCCCAAAGGGGACGCAGAGCTGATCACAATGCACATGTACATGGCAAACAATCAATGCCATTTTAGACATACAAGACAGACAGACAGATAGAGGTATTTCAGAGGGTTTTTTTTTTTTTCAGTTTTGGCGCCTGGAGGTTATGCTTAATTCCGGCAAGGGAGGTATTGTCGCTTCATCTGCTGTGATGATGAGCCCTTTTTGATTGTAGAATTTCCCTCCTTGTTTTTTGATCACTGGCATTTTTATGGTGTTGTAAAATACCTCCCCGGTAAAGCAGTGCCTAATTTCTTTACTCACAGCTCAGCTGTTTTCCAACTGCTTCAGTGTACAGTGAGCTTAGGGTAACAGTCAGGTGCTCAATTCAACTTGGGCTTCAAACTTGCCACCTTGGCTTCTATAGCCAAGAGGGGCTTCAAACTCCAGTGTCTAGAAACCTAACCAATACCCAAGCCACTATATCATGTGGCTCTCTACCCAGACTCCATATCAAGTAGTATTGGACCTTTATAGTTCAAAAACTAATATACCTGTATCTTTCCAAGAGCTCCAATAGCCACTTCAGGAGGGAGTATCACTGGTTTTGCATATGTACCACCAATCTAGGGTATCAAAACAGAAGGAATCAGGTAAAGGTAATACAAGGAACAGGCCTAATTTTGGTTTGTTGTAAGTTTTTCGGGTTGTATGGCTATGTTCTAGAAGCATTCTCTCCTGACGTTTCGCCTGCATCTGTGGCAAGCATCCTCAGAGATTATGAGGCCTAAATTTTCTGCTGTCTGTATGAAGCAGCCTCATTAAGGAGAGAGCAACTTATGGCACTCCAGATATTGTTTGACTGCAGCTCCCATCATTCTTAACTGTTGGATACGCAGACTAGATCTGATGGGGACAGTAGTCCAACAACATGCCGGAGAACCACAAATAGTTGACTCGTGTTTTGATCTAACAATCCATTGATGGCGATGTGGGCACAACTGTACATATGCAGTGCACACCTTAACTGAACCCTTTCCCCTCTGCCCTCTTCTTTTCCTTCGTCTATCCATGTAACAGTAATGGGAGATCCATACACACATCTTTAGCTATCCCTTTCCTCCCAGATCTAAGACCACAAACTACAACTGGTTTTCCCAATTTCCTACAACGAGATCTGGTCATCATTACATTTTAAATAAGTGCAGATATGTTCTCAAAGTAGAGGTTAAATGTTATATAACTCACTGTGCCAATATTGGAGAGTGTGAATGTTCCCCCTGTGAGGTCATTTGTTCCCAGCTGGTTAGTAGCTCCCAGGTTTTGTAAGCGGTTTAATTCTGAGGCAATGTCAAATACACTTCGAGCCTCAATGTTTTTCACATTGGGGACCACCAAGCCTTGTCCTGTATCCATCGCAACTCCAATGTTGTGAGAAGCCTAGGATATATAACCAGAAAGAAATGGAATTAAGAGGGATTTTTGGAGGCCCACAATTCTAAGAATTGAAAGGAACACAGGTAAGAATGGTGTATGCTTCTTGGAAGAAGAGACACAAAAACAGAGGTTTAAGCATTTAAAAAGAAGCACACATGCGCAAAGGGACATATTTTCATTTATGGTGGGAATACCCCCAGTTGAAGAGTTTTTGGAACAATACATTTATGGAAATAGGTAACATTATAGGATTAAACATTGCCCCGGATGCTAGGTTAGCATTACTAATGGATGCCTCAAAGCAGAACTTAGAAAGGGGGGGGGGGGGGGGAACGAACTGGTGATTTTTTTTATTCACAGTGGTGAGACTTATAATTGCAAGGAATTGGAAGGCTGGAAGCATGGTATGAGGAGGTATGGAACATAGCCTTAAATTATAAAGTATCAATGGAAATGAGGGTGTTCAGTGGGAAATTAATAGATCAGAACTTGATTCATATTGGTTGGTTTTCATTAAATATATTTTAGAGAGTGATAAGGGAAAACAATACCACCTTGTTGGTCGGGAATTTTGGATATGATGTTTGTTTACTGGTTGACTCATAAATTTATGGCAAAGGAAAATATACTTGTTCAGGCCTTGATGGTGGGGTTATGTGTTTGCAGAATGTTCATTGTTTTGTATTCTGTTTACACTGTAAGTTGTTAATGTGTGTGTATATGTGCGTGTATTAAAAAAGGAAAAAGGAAAATTTAAAAGTATTTAAAAAGAAGCACACATATAAGAAACTGGTGAGCAAAAAATGACATTACAAAAAAAATATTTATTTATTTATGACATTTATATGCCGCCCTTCTCACTTCGAAGGGGACTCAGAGGGGCTTAAAAGATATATATACATACAATATATTATATTATTAGGATAGTACAATATCAATATTATATATTACTATATTGTACTATACTGTTATATTGTAATATTATTTATATATATATAACTATATATAATTATATATATATAAATAATATTGCAATAGTATTTATATAATTAATAGAAGCAGTCCCCAGGTTACACAAGAGATAGGTTCTGTAGGTTTGCTTTAAAGCTGAATTTGTGTGTAAGTTCGTACAGGTAGCTTTTTAAAGTTTAATTGCAGCGCTGTCTGTGCCCCTGTTCAGAAGATTTCTCCTCACTTTCTGTTCCTGTGAGAATTAGATTTTGAAATATTTGGCTTGTTGTGGAAACAAGGATTTGTGATAAAGCTTCAATTGAGGCACATTTTCCCCATGATAACTCTTCCAGGAGTGGTTTTCCCTTTCGAGGGGTAGATTGCTCTCACTTCCTGTTGTCTCACTCCTTTTCTTAATTATGAGTCATATGTAATTCGGATGTCTGTAACTTGGAGACTGCCTGCAATTCTTATTATTAACTAAAAGAAGCCTGAATTGTAAATGCAAAGAAGGTTACTCTTTTAGAAAATCATATACAAACCTTGTACGTGATGTTTTGGCCATTTTCATCCAAAGACGCATTAAGAATAGGGTAATGTAACAACCCTAAAGAAGCAGCCTGTTGAATATAAAAACAAAACAGTAGTAACAAATGCAAAAATAGAATATAGTTCAAACCTTTAAATGTAGTCTGAAAGTATACATGGATCTATTTTTCAAAATCAAGTTATTCACATAAAAATATACTTGGAAGGTCAGAGATGGATCCAAAGGGAGACATGTCTTTATCTAGCTTTGGAAGGCATCTGATTCAGCAGGAAGCTCATCCCATGGGCAAAAGTATGGGGACTATTACCGATCCCTGCTCCAGACCTGAACCCCATCCCACTGAAGCAGATTTTGGGAGGCTGCATGAGGATCTTGGGGGAACTTGCAAGTCACACCCTCTCTTTCCACTAGTGAAGGTCTCTTCCAATTGGAACATCAGAAGATGTTCCCGTTGGGTTGTTGTGAGTTTTCTGGGCTGTATGGCCATGTTCCAGAAGCATTCCCTCCTGACGTTTCACCTGCATCTATGGCAAGCATCCTCAGAGAAATGCTGGACTACTCAAACAACTTCCATGTCTGACTACACAGAGAAGCCATTGAAATCCACAAGCATGTGGACAATTTCAAAAAAAAAAAAAAACCATGAAAATGAACAAAATCTGGCTACCAGTATTAAAAAAAACTCTAAAATCATAACAATAAATAAAAACAACACTAAAAAAACAGGGGAATTCCAGACAAGAAACAATCAGGGACAACTAATCACCTCCCAACAAAGTATTCCCCCAGGCAGTAAGAAGCCAGACCTTGAAACTGCTAGGCCTTTAAATGCTAATCAAGGTGGCCAATTGCAACATTCACACCTACCTCAAATAGACAAGAGTTCTTTCTCCCACCCTGGATATTCTACAGATATATAGACCTCTAGTTTCCAACAGACTTCATAACCTCTGGGGTTGTCTGCCATAGATGCAGGATAAACATCAGGAGAGAATGACTCTGGAACATGGCCATACAGCCCGGAAAACTCACAACACCCCAGTGATTCCAGCCATGAAAGTCTTTGACAATACAATGTTCTCATTGGCCAGCAAACAAACAAACAAACAAACAAACAAATCACTTCAGTATCTTTCTAGGTGGATGAGAGCTATTTGGCATGCAAAGAAAAATATATATGAAACATGGAAGCAGCCGCAATGCAAAAAATAAGCAGTTTCTGCATTGTGGTCCAACTACTTTTTCTAGACTGTATTGGACTCTTACCCCATGTTCAGCTAGGAGGAGGATAAAGAGTGCATCAACCCAGTTCAGAGTCTTCTTAAACAATTGGCCATTCATTATGCCAAAATATAGCTACAAGATGAAAGCAAAAACTTTTGCTTTGCACATCAGATAGGCCTGCCTTTATATCTCACCTTTAAAAAGAAGGGCATGAAGGAGAGGTTAACTCCTCGTTCTTGAGCGACAGGTTTCAACTCTTCTCTCAAACGGACGAGCTGAGAAAGATTAACCTCATCACAATAACCAAAATGAGGAATCTTCAAAGCAGCAGTCATGGTTTTTACCATTACTTTCTGGAATCCTGGAAATTGAAAGCAGGATAATATGAAACTGAAATAAGACTTTTACAGTTACAGGGTTTCTTATTGTCTGCTTTCTTTTCCACTTTCCATCAAACAAGCAATCAAAACAAAGTAAAAACAACTGAACAATCTCAATAACTGTGTATGTGCCGTTACGGCCAGACACTTTAAAATAAAACTTTGACGTGCTGCTATCTAGGTCTGGGCGAACTGCTGGGGTCTTTCTTTAGAAGATTGAGCTTTCTTGAATAACTGAGTCCACTTCAAGTTTGAAACATCAAACAGGGTATTTATTCATGAAATCCTGGTAGACTTGGCTCAGTTTATCAATATTACAAAAAAAAACCCAGTCAATTAGGGTTCAATAATTGAGGCAATCTTTCTCCAAAAAAGGGTATAACTTTCTCCAAAAAGGGTATCTCTATAACTATCTAGATAATCCTCTATAACTATCTAAATAGTTCTCTTTTAATCTATCTATCTCTAACTAAATAACTCAATCAAACTCAATTGTTTTCTATCTATGACTCAATTACTCAATAAATCTATCTATCTATCTATCTATCTATCTATCTATCTATCTATCTATCTATAGGTCTCAATTGTTTTTACAATGGTATCTTCGGAGGTACCTGTCTGCCAACAGCACATCATGGATTCTTCCTAAAGACTGAAGGGGCAGGGAGACCTCCAAAATGGATGCTTCTACCCTGGAAACAGGGGTGGGCCCAAAGAGCTACTCTTTGGCCAATCATTGCAGAGAGCCTGCAAACTGGCTTTCCGGCCTCTGTCTGCTAACCTTTTAGGCCTAGCAAAGGCTGCAGCAGCCTGGGATAAACTCAAGGAGAGGCTGTTTCCAGAAACTAAAAGGTAATGCAAAACCCATGCTCCTGGGAGACAGAACAGTGTAGGTTATTTCTAGTGAGATCACAAAGGACACGACTACGTATGGTACAATGGAAAACAGTGTTTGATCAGGAGCTGAAAGATCTGGGTTCAAATCTATATTCATAATGAAACTCCATGAGTGACATCAGACTAATTCTCTCTCTCAGCCTTACTTGTGGATATCACCATGAGACCAAGGAAGGAAGAACAGGAAATAAATGTAACTTATTAATAAATTCAATCTAACATGACTGTGTTAATTGTTTTTGGAGCAGCCACTGGCATTCTACCAGGATTATTATTTTTAATATGAATACAAAACCATTAAATATTTTATTTTTTCATATTATCATCACATAATTAATGTATACTATTAAGACAAAAATTATTTTACCTGATAAGGCCACTGTTTTATCTTTCCCTGAAAGTACTACAGGTCCAGCAATCGGCACAGGGATTCTAGACTCCTTCTCCTTGGATGTGTCTGCCGCCAGGTCTCTTTTTCGTGGAGGTGGGATTATTTCAGGCTTTGGCGAAAGCGGTAAAATAGCTCCCGTCTGCTTGGCCAAGTAATTGAGAATGTCTTCTTTGAGGATACGGTTATCCTTCCCAGTTCCAACAACTTCGCTCAGCTTAATCTGAAAGACATGCATCAATTTGAGGAACTCCGGAAATAGAGCTCAAACGGGAAAATATACACACTTCTACTGAACTGGGTTGCAAAGAAAATAAACGTGCTACAAGGCAAACTAGTGAAGTATTTGAAGAATATTTATGAAACCAGATAATCCATATTATTTGCTTTGAACTGGATTATATGAGTCTACACTGCCATATAATCCAGTTCTAAGCAGATAATCTGGATTTTATATGGCAGTGTAGAAGGGGCCCAGATTTATTCTAAGAAGGCTCCATGGTTTACCCTAACCCACAATACTCTTCCCACTGCCATTGTACAATAGGTGAAACATACTGCAGATCCAGCCCACACCATGGAAGGTGCCACCAACGGGAAACACACGGCAGAAGTATCAAAGAATCAAACTTTTTGCTCTAGCTTCAAATGTAGAGATTGAAATAAGGCATCACAAAGAAGCTGCCAGACCTTGCCACATACCGGTCCCTCCTCTGCCTGGCCTTAAGGTTAGAACAGTCTTTCTTTTATAAATGGCTTTTACTGGGCTCTCTCACATCCAGTCCCACTTGACAATACATATGAGAAATTTACTGCAAGGTGGCTTGTTTCAAGACAAAATGCACGCACATTGTTTTCCATGGCAAGGCGGCGGACGGCAGGGGTGGCCAAGGTTTTGTGGCCTTTAATCTCCTGGTGGGTCTGCTCTTCATGCGACACAGCAGGCGTCTCCACAACATCTTCTTCAGGAACGACATCTGGAGGTTGGACCAAAAATGAAGAAAGTATGGTGAATGCTATTAAGATGCTTTACATCCATTATTTCATTTAAGCATGTGGGATATACTTAACTATCCGTGGCTGAGGTCCCACATCAGCCCAGCATAAGTATCTGTGGATGGCATTATACCATACAACCTCTATGTAGAATACAAATGTAACACAACCTATATAAATCAATGGCCAATGACTAACTATTGCGAATATCCAATGCACAATGCAGGAAGGCAATGTAGAAAAGCAATGTGCATTCCTATGCTACTCTGTGCACTTTAATATACTATCACATGCTCAGCAATCCCATATGTTCTAGTCTTCTTGTGCCACTATTCGTTGGATACAAACATTGTACATTGTCCCTCCAAAAAATCACTTTGCATGTGTAACTCCCGGTGGCGCAGCGAGTTAAACTGCTGAGTTGCTGACCATACTGACCAAAATGTCAGAATTAAGGAAGCAGGGTGAGCTCCCATTGTTAGCCCCACCTTCTGCCAACCTAGTAGTTTGAAAACATGAAAATGCGAGTTGATTAATAGATACGGCTCTGGTGGGAAGGTAACGGCAATCCATGCAGTCATGCTAGACACATGACTTTGGAGGTGTCTACAGACAATGCTGGCTCTTCAACTTAGATATGGAGATGAGCAGCACTTCCCAGAGTTGGACTCAACTAGACTTCATGTCAAGGGGAAACCTCTACCTTTACCTATGCCACTAACAATCTGGCAGCTAATGTAGGTAAGTATGATTCTTTCATGCACATATTATTGGAGTGGTGTGGGTCTGATACCTTCTAATTGCTGTAGTATATGGGCTTGAGACCCCTTCTACACTGCTGTATAATTCAGATTATCAAAGCAGATAATCCAGATTATCTGCTTTGAATTGGATTATATGAGTCTACACTGCCATATAATCCAGTTCAAAGCAGATAATCTGGATTTTATATGGCAGTGTAGAAGGGACCTGAACCTATAAGTGCCTGAGAGGCCACCGAAGGCAGCCTAGTTGTCAAATCAAAGGAAAGAAGTAAACATGAGTGGTTAAGGATGTCAAGCTCTACAACTACTTTCAGCCATTCATGGGTCTTTTTATGTTTCACATGCTTCTCCAATGTTTCACATGCTTCCCTTCCACCTTCACACCATATAGCAAAAAACCCTTAAAATATTTTAAAACATTTAAAAGCTGTTTATCTTATGATCCATTCGGGACAGGAAGGACACTTTGGTTTCTTTATTTACACCAAGCCCTCTGGTACTGCTGGCCTGCAACCCCCACTAGCAAATCCACTGGCTGCACTCTATCCATTCTGATTTAATGTATGATTATACTGGGAAACACACATTTTAGTGCCTCAAAGGTTAGACCTGTTTCTAAATATATTTGACCTGCCAATTCCAAAAAACGGCACCAGTTTTTCCCTCTCAGCTCTAGTTTTAGAAATACAGAACATATGCCATCTGATAGTCACCATGTGTTTACCCACTGAAAACCATGATAACCATATCTAAGAAACTAGAGCTGATGTGGTCTATCCAATGCATTTTCTGAATCAGTGGCCCAAATAACTCCAGGAACAGATCCAAAACCAACACCCCAAGATTTTTTTTTGCTGGGCTGTTTTTAATAATTCAATAATTATTCAATTATTATTTTAAAATGAGATTAGCAGTAACTCCATGATCCTGGATGGTTTTTACTAACTATAAGATAAAGATTTTTCCCCTGACATTAACTCCAGTCATGTCTGACTCTGAGGGTTGGTGCTCATCTCCATTTCTAAGCCAAAGAGCCCGCGTTGTCTATAGACCCCTCCAAGATCATGTGGCCAGCATGACTGCATAGAGCACTGTTAACGTCTCACCAGAGTGGTACCTATTGATCTACTCACATTTGCATGTTTTTGAACTGCTAGGTTGGCAGAAGCTGGGCCTAACAGTGGTAGCTCACTCCGCTCCCGGGATTTGAACCTGTGACCTTTCAGTCAACAAGTTCAGCAGCTCAGTGGTTTAACCCACTGCACCACTGGGGGCTCCCATAGTTTAAAATAAAAATTATTCATTGAATAAAGACAGCATTAGTTTTTAAAAAGTAAATTAAGTATCTTCAGTATCCTTTGCCCTACAAGAAAAAGGGAGATTGTCAAAACTCATACAAGTCTTATTTTATTGTGCATCTTCTGGTAAAAAGTTCATTCTGAAGGAAGGGTTGGTTTAAATCTTTAAAAGTCAAAGCTGCATTTACTTCTGTGGGACTAATACATCCCAGAAAAACAATGAAGACCAGCTAACATTACCTTTTATAGTGGCTGTTTCTATATCCACCAGCGGTTTCCCCACGTGGGCTATTTCATCTAATGCATAATGGAGTTTTCTAATGACGCCATCATAGCGACTGGTGATAGTGACAGAGGCTTTATCACTTTGTACTTCACAGATGCTGTCAAACTGAGATACAGTATCCCCTTCTTTGACATACCTAAGAGAAAAAGAGATTTGCATGGACCACATGGCAGTCGTGCTAATCCATCATCAAGAGAAAAATTATTTTGCATCCATATAGCAGGACAGTATGTTCAAAGCTGGATACTATGAGCTTCATTCACATACTTCTCTTTTACACATCACTGAAACAACTCAGTCAACTTTAAACCATTCTATTGTATTCTACTCTTTGTATTGTGTATTTTAATATACGCATTTTATAATAATGTGTTTTAATATAGGCATCTAATTGTATGTATTTTACGGTGGTGTGTTTTGACTGTGTTGTGCCCTGCCTTGAGCTATGAAGAGCTACAAATAATAATAATAATAATAATAATAATAATAATAACTGTATTTCCTGGCATATAAGTATTTTGAGCCAGACTGGAGAATCTGCGGTTGCTGCATATGGTGGGGGGAGCTCAAAAATGGCTGTGGCCACATCCCAGCCAGATGCAGCGACCGTATGAAAGCAGTAAGGGTGGTAGAAGAAAATCCACTCGCCAGGATTCGTGGGAAGAAGTGACTTCATGAGGTCCTGATGACAAGGTGAGGGGGCGCTTCACCAGGAAGGTGCAAGTGAGGGGCGAAGCAAGCTGCAGGCATCCGGGACGCCCGGGGTAAGGAAAAAAAGAAATAGAGCAGCACTGTGCCCAGAAAAACATTCTCTTTCACCTGTTTGGCCCGCCCTTGTATCCTATTACCATACGTCCTTCTCTGCTTCTCAGATCTAGCTCCTGAGGACTGCAGTGAAGCAGTGCAGGTGCGCACATGCGAGATCTGAGAGGCAGAGAAGGACGTATGGTAATAGGAAAATTACCATATTGAAATCAAATCTGGTGTTTTTAAAATTTTCATTTGGTGTGTGTTGGAAGAGGGGTAGTCTTATACAGCAAGTATATCCCAAACTCTATATTTTAACTGGAAAATTTGGGGGTCGTCTTATACGCCCAGTCGACTTATATGCTGGAAATACAGTATTATTATTATTGTTAACAATAATAATAATTGTTTTTCTTTATCCTCCCTCCCTCCTTTTAAGGAAACAATTGGCAGTTGGCCATAGACTCTCTTTCTCTGTGGAAGGACGCAGTGTAACTTACCACTCTTTGACAGTCACCTCAGTGATTCCTTCTCCAATATCAGAAAGCTTGAACTGTACAATTTGGCCACTTGAAGCTTTAAAGAGACAATGGAGAAAGTGTCAAACAAAAGAGTAGAACTTTTAAAACCAGAAGTTAAAACTTTACTGAAGTCTGAAGGAGCTCAAGGTAATGAAGAACAGTCTGCTGTCCATATCTATGGATTTTGCAAATATTAAATATTGAAAATATTTTTTAAAATTCACAAAGTAATGTATACAGGTGACATCATTTTACAAGGCCATTGTCTACAGTATGACTGAGTTATCTACAGAAAAGTCATACTGGACTAGCTTTCTGCACATTTACAAAGAAATCAAATTCACTGTATTTAGAAGGAATACATAAAATTGTAGGCGAAAAATGACTTTGATTATTGTTGCTATGCTCATTGGGCTTGCTTTGTCAGCCAATGACACTTTAGTTTACCAACCAGAAATAGGAATATGCCTTTCTTGCTTGACATGAAGCATTGTCTCTCTTCCCTTTAGGCAAGTGAGTGAACAAACCAATAAACCTTCCTGTCTTGTTCAATTTTTTTTAAAAAAAACTATGATTATAGGCTTTAGAGCAAGTCAACTTCAAATCATGGTTTAATAATATCCTGATTTCTTCTAGAATTGTTAAACAGTTTGCATCTCAGTATAACTAAGAGGTAATTGCTTAGTTCTGGCCATCCATTTAAGACTGGATAAGATTGTGTCATTAGTAAACATCAAAGTATCAGAACAATTGTGTATTCATCAAAATTTGAATCACTAGAAACAGACTAATGGTAAATATTACCTGCTCTAACCAATTCCAATTCATTTTGGAATTGAAGGGAAAAAATGCACAGTAAACAGAACATTAAAAATTAGCGAGAAATCAACTTACCAACAGTTGTTCTGAACAACTGGTGCTGATGTCGATACCTCCATGCAGATTTATCAAATCCATAAATGTGTCTTGCTTTCAGCAAACGAATACTACTATAGGGCCTAATATGACGTATGCAGAACTGTCAAACCGAACAAAAATGAAATTATTAGAATAATATTGATAGCAATTACTAGTTATTGTCGTCCAATTTGCTTGAGGAATGTAAACACTATTTTTTTTTTGTTTTTAGGTAAGTTTTAGGTTGAGTGTAATTTGAATTGATCTCGCGTTTACTGGTGTTACGGGTTTTGTTTCTGTGTCAAAAGAGAGATACTGACAAAGTAAAAGTTCACTTGAAGATACAAAAACAATGTTTACAAAACTCTTATGGCTTCTCCAACTGGCATGTATACATGCTCTAGTATTTTGTGCTTTCAAGTAATTTCCAACACATGGCAACTCTAAACTGAACCTATCATAGGATTTTCTAGAACGGAGAGAGTGCAAGATCATCCGGTGGGTTTCCATGGTGAGTCAGGTCTACGGAGTCATATAGTCTACAAGAACACATAAATCAAACACAGATCTCCAGAATCATGTATTCTATAAGAATACATAATCGCAATAAAACCCAAACCCCATTCCACTAGCTCAAGTGGTATGCACTTTATTTTGGAGTCAACTAAAGCTCTACTAAACCAGAATCTGCCCTTTCACTGTTGGACAATGTAAGGAATGAGATCCTGGGATATACGGAAGCAGATCCAGCCTAGATCTGAAGTCACTTCCAAAAAGAGAATGTTTGTAGTAATCTTGGCAGGGGGTTGGACTGGATGGCCCATGAGGCCTCTTTCCAACTCTTTGATTCTATGATTCTATAATCTCAAAAGAAGTGTGTGCTGCATAATTCTCAGATATTATGGTCAGCCTCCATATCTCTGACGTTCACTCCATATCTCTGAAAAATTCACTCCATATGTCTGAAACATATTCCAGCAATGAAGGAACAGTCATCATAAACCCCATGAGTTCAGCAGAAATCAGAGAATGAATGGGAAACCTCCCACCAAACTGTAAAATCTAGTTAGAATTTTTGAGTGTAACAACCAGCATAACTTTATTCGCTCTATCAAAAAAAATCACAAAAGATTTGGTTCTATCATTAAGTTTATACGACAGTGAGAAAACTAAGATTAATTTTTATGGAAGTTTTCTTAATATAATTAAGACGATACATTTCCAGACAGGTATATTAAGATATATAGTTTGTATCTATTTGCTTATTACTTTCAGAATTCATAAAGCCATCCACAGCTATTCAAATTAAAGTGGGAATCAAAGTATTGATCAAATGTGAAACAGGTTCTTTTGAGAAGCAGGAGGCACCCTGCATTTGGTGAAATAGATGGACTATGTCCTATTCATTAATCAATGCTGAGATAGATAGAAACACACATGGAGTGACTCACTACATATCTCTCTAGGGCTGCATCTACACTGCCCTACATCCCAGGGTTTTATTCCAGATTATCTGCTTTGAAGTTGATTATATGTGTCTACACTGCTAGACAATCTGGGATAAACAGATAATCTAGGATGAGATCCTGGGATATATGGAAGCAGATCCAGCCTAGATCTGAGGTCACTCCCAAACAGAGAATGTTTGCAGGATAATCTCAAAAGCAGTGTTTTTTGCATAATTCTCAGAGATTATGATAAGCCTCCCAAAAGGAACTGTTGCCTTAAAAACAAAAGATAACTGTGGAATGTTTTGCTGAAAGTGAATTATCTGATTCTTCAAAGTACCTCAAGCCGTTCACATGGAAAAAACTAAAAATAATCTTCTCTTCAGATTCAGAAATTGAAGCACCTGTATGGGAGAGCAAGTAATTCTGTGTTGCAATGTGATACTTTTAACTAAGTAACCGTTCTGGAAATTTGAAGCAGGGTGAAGCAGGGGGAAATCCTAGGTATTTTCTCATTCTCATTTGGAAATGGAAAAAAATAAGTAACTGTGCAAATTGGTTCGCTAAAATGATTATCATGTTTAGTTATGAAATGTAAAAGTATTTTTTCAGACAATCATAACAAACTGGCTAACAGTCTACTTTTAGACTGGAGTTGTGTCATCTGAAGAGTCATGGTGCGATGAAGAAGGAACTGGCTATGATGGCTGAAACAATGGAATAGTTTAATTTTTATAGTTTAATCTTGAAATTAAATGGGTATATCTACACTGTAGAATGAATGCAGTTCGACACCACTTGAACTGCCATGAGTAAATACGATGGAACCACAGGAGTTACAGGCTGGATCTACACTGCCCTATATCCCAGGATCTGATCCCAGATTATCTGCTTTGAACTGGGTGCCCTTCCACACAGCCATATCACCCTGAATATCAAGGCGGAAAATCTCACAATATTTACTTTGAACTGCATTATCTGAGTCAACACTGCCGTATTTTCAGTTCAAAGAAGATAATGTGAGATTTTATTCAGATGTGGGGAAGGGGCCTGGAATATAGGAGTCTACACTGCCAGATAATCTGGGATAAGAATATAATCTGGGATCAGATCCTGGGATATAGAACAATGTAGATCCAGCCCGCAACTCCTGTGGTTCCATAGTATTTAGCCATGACAGTTCAAGTGCCAAGGAGGGCTAGTGCCTCTCCAAACTACAACTCCCAGGATTCCATAGCATTGCACCATGGCATCAAACTGCTGAGTATGCCTGCCCTGTTTGGTACAAGACTGTCCATGCAAAGCAGGTGAACATAGCACTGAACGAAATATGCAGAATGTCTTAAACCTACGCCTGTTGATAAACCATACAAGCTAGCTAGCACTGCCCACTCCCACCCCAAATATGCAATGGGAAGTTGCTGCTAACTGGGAGAGAAATAAGGTTGAACACTGTGAAATCCACCCACTGCATGGCTATCAGCCTACTCCCAGTAGACTCAAATCAAGGAAAAGCTTCATGAGAACCACCACTCCTCTTAATGTTTCCCCAGCAACAGCAAGAGTATCCTCTGGGCAGCTAAACCAGGAAATCCCAAATGGATGGCCCCTCATGACAGAACCAATTTGGAAATGCAATTTCTAACCCAGGAACAAAATCGTGCGACATAGTGTTATTGGTTTGGAAATTCTCTTATGTCATGTTCCCTAAAGCATTTTATTGTGTGAATTTGCTTTATTATTTTACTTTGTTATTGTAATTTTATTTTCTGGTGCATTTTGTGTCTTGWATTCTGTATTTTATTGTGTATAGAATTGGAAGTCCACAAGTCCTGATGTATTTTGTCAGTTGCACTAGCCAAGAGGACTGATGTTGGTTTTTGGTCTGCTCTAACAGGCACAATTTTGGTAGCCTATRATTTGCCATGGCATTTAGTTTTATCCAATATTTATATGCCCTAATTTTGGATAAACCATCGACTGTATATACTCCTGTTTCTGCTCTCACTGCTGCAGCTGGAYTCCTTTTATCCACTCCTAGAAAGTTACGCAGGTGCTGTGCTTGAGATTGCTCTAATAATGATACCTGGTTTAGAAAAACTACATTCTTAATGGCTGGCCAGAATGCGAAGATAACACACCAAACAGCCCTTTTCCTTTYTAAAGCAACGCAGCTGAGAACTGCGTATCTGGAGGCGATTGGGGTCAACTGTAGGGGTGACYCAGATATCTGAAGTGGCTTGGGATTGTGTAATAGCTATTTTAACCTTCATTTTAACCTTCGTTTTTAATTTTTMTGGTATGAAATTTTATCTTGACATTTTAATGATAATATTTTTWGTCATCTTTTAACCTAYTGTGTGTTGGTTCGCTGTTGTGGGGGTCTTGGGATGGTGATTGTTGTCTGTTTGTGCACTTGTCTGTTTTTTGTTTTAATGTTGATGCGGTCAATAGACTATTCAATAAACCTTGCTTTGCTGTATTTTATTGTGTTGTATTGTATTTTAAAGAGCTTGGCCTCAGATTAGCTACCCCGAGTCCCCATTGGGGAGATGGTGGCAGGGTATAAAGATTATTATTATTATTATTATTATTATTATTATTATTATTAAAGCAGGCCTCCTCAGTCTGTGGTCCTCCAGCTATTTGGGCCTCCAACTCCCAGAAGCCCTCGCCTGCTTTTCCAATGGTCAGGGATTCTGGGAGTTGGAGGCCCAAACAGCTGGAGGACCACAGACTGAGGAGGCAAGGGCATTGTAAAAATCATGAAGGTATGAGATACAGAAGGAAATCACAAGGAACAGTAAAGCGGTTAAGAACGCTGGGCAGGGATCTAACAGTGGCCTGAAACTGATATTGAATGGATCAGGCGAAAACCAGGGTTGCATCCACACTGTAAAATTAATGCAGTTTGACACCGCTTGAGCTGCCATATGGCTCAATGCTCTCACCCCTGGCTGTTTGTGAGGCGCGCCGAGAAGGCCTGCTCTCGCCCTCCCGAGCCCTCCTTTTTCCCCCGCTTACCAGGCGCCCCGCAGCCCGACAAGAACTCCTCAGCGCGACCACCGTCGCCGCCATCTTTAACCGGGGAGGAAAAGTTGCGCATGCCCCTACGCCCCTCCCACCCGACAGCCAATCGGGAGGCAGCATTTGCGCACCCGGGCCAATAGGATGAGAGAAAGTTGCCCCGCCCCTTCGTTTGAGGGCCGGGAGAAGGTTCGGAGACAGGTACAGAAGGAATAAGGAGAGCCGGAAGTGTATGTATGTAATCAGCGCGGCTTAACTCTTTCCTGGTAGAATTCGAACAGGAACCGGACGTGTATAGGCGCTTGTGACTTTCCCTCTATGATCTGTAAGAATGCAGTCCTGACAAGACTTTCACTCTCACCGCTCAAGGCTATAGAATCATGGGAGTTGTAGTTTACTGAGGCACAGCACTCTTAGGCAGAGGAAGCTAAACCCGGAGATTTCGCACAGCTGGTAAATCATCAGCAACTATAAGATCTATCAAATGTAAGGTTGCAAGTTCAAAGCCCCGAGGCGGCATGAGCAGCCGACTGTCAGCCCTGCTCACTGTTTATCTAGCAGTTCGAAAACAGCTTTAGCTGTAATTAGAGAAATTAGGTACCGCTAAAAGCGGGGGAAGAGCCCCCATTGGTGCAGTGGGTTAAAGTACTGAGCTGCTGAGCTTGTTGACCGAAAGGTTGTAATTTGAATCTGGGGAGCGGTGTGAGCTTCCGCTGTCAGCCCCAGCTTCTGCCAACCTAGCAGTTCGAAAACATGCAAATGTGAGTAGATCAGTAGATACCGCTCTGGCGGGAAGGTACGACGCTCCATGCCGTCATGTCGACCACATGAACTTGGAGGTGTCTATGGACAACACCGGCTCTTCGGCTTAGAAATGGAGATGAGCACCAACCTCTAGAGTCGGACACAACTGGACTTCATGTCAGGAGAAACTTTTACCTTAAAAGCGGGGGTGGGGTGTTTTATAACAGCATAAATAAAAGCTCTGCGAGTACAGCATTTTTCCAAACGAAGTAGAGAGTGTTTGAGGACCGGGACATCCGTAGGGATACCAAGGTGCTTGTTTATAAAGCTATTGTCCTCCCAATCCTGCTATATGCCTGCGAGACGTGGACTATCTACAGACTCTTGAAACGATTCCATCAGCGCTGGCTCCGGAAAATCCTGCAACTCCCTTGGGAAGACAAGCAGACAAATGTCAGCATGCTGGAAGAAGCAAAGACCACCAGCATTGAAGCGCTGGTCGTCCGCCATTAACTCTGCTGGACCAGTCACGTTGTCCGGATGCCTGATCACCATCTCCCAAAGTAGTTGCTCTACTCCAAACCTCAAGAACAGAAAACAGAATGTTGGAGGACAGGAAAAGAGATTTAAAGATGGGCTCAAAACCAACCTTAAAAACTCTGGCATAGACACTGAGAACTGGGAAGCCCTGGCCCTTGAGCGCTCCAGTTGGAGGTCAGCTGTGACCAGCAGTGCTGCAGAATTTGAAGAGGCACGAATGGAGGGGGAAAGAGAGAAACGTGCCAGGAGGAAGGCGCAATAAGCCAATCCCAACTGGAACCGCCTTCCACCTGGAAACCAATGCCCTCACTGCGGGAGAAGATGCAGATCAAGAATAGGGCTCCACGGTCACCTACGGACCCACCGCCAGTACTTGGAAGACTATTTTACTCGGACAACGAGGGATCGCCTAAGTAAGTAAAGAAAAGATCAGAAAATGCTGGAATGAGGAAGTCCTGATGGCTCTTCGTCATAGAGGATGGAGCAACAGCCCCCTCTGTGGACTCAAGCCCAACCATGCATGGCATTGAAACAACACACCTCCTTCTGTTCTGTCTGTCTATGTCAGGGGTCCTCAAACTTTTTAAACAGAGGGCCAGATGATAGTCCCCAAAATTGTTGGAGGGCCGGATTATAATTTAAAAAAAAACATGAATGAATTCCTATGCACATTGCACGTATCTTATTTGTAGTGCAAAAAGCACTTTAAAACAATACAATAATTAAAGTGAAGAACAATTTTAACAAATATAAATTTATTGGTATTTCAGTGGGAAGTGTGGGTGATGAGATAGGATTGTTGTTGTTGTTTATGCTTTCAAGTAGTTTCATACTTAGGTTGACCTTGAGCAAGGGCCAGGTAAATGACCTTGGAGGGCCGCATCCGGCCCCCGGGCCTTAGTTTGAGGACCCCTGGTCTATGTACTGTATACAAAAGCAGCACTGAATGTTTGCCATGTATGTGTACTGTGATCCGCCCTGAGTGTTGTTGTTGTTATTATTATTATTATTATTATAAAACTACAACTCCCACAATCCCATAGCATTCAGCGATGGTAGCTAAAGTGATATCAAACTGTGTTAATTCAACAATGAAGATGCACCTCTGGACAGAGCAAGTCAGGAAGAGATATTTTACGGACTACAAGTCCCAGAATCCCCCAGATTATGTTTTAATTGAATGTCCAGCACTCTTCCCCTAATAAACAAACTTCCCCAAACTCTTCCTCTGTGTGCACTTGCAGAAGACGCTGGGTCCGTTCTGCGCATGCTCCGCCTGCTTTGGCGACTCCTGGCGAGTCGGAGGAGGCGCTTTGGTTTCGGCGCCCGCCCTCTCTTCTTTTTGCGCTTTGCCTCCATCTGCCTCGCTGCGCCCCTTCTCTTGCCTGGCCTCGACCTGGCTTCAACGGCTGGCCCGTCCCAGCTTCTTCGCCCTTATCCGGAGACCTGCTTCTCAACGGCGGCGCATCATGGGCGACGGAGACCGGGTGGAGATCGATGGCAGCATTATGGAAGGGGTGAGCTGGGAGAAAGCAAAAGACTAAGAAGAACAAAGACGTGGAGCACTAGGACCCGAGGGCATCCTCGCAGGCGCGGAGTCTGTCGATGAATGAATGCAGTGGGAGATACCATTATCCAGATTGGGGGGTGTTGGACTATATCATTCTACACTATAGAATTAATGTAGTTTGACATCACTTTAACTGTCATGGCTCAGTGCTATGGAATCGTGAGATTTGCTATGTGGTGAGGCATCAGCACTCTTTGGCAGAGAAGGCTGGAGACTTTGTAAAATTAGAACTCCATCGTATTGAGTCATAGCACTTAAAGTGGTGCCAATCTGCATTAATTCTACAGTGTAGATGCACCCCATGGTGTGGATATTTCGAGATCAGCCACTCAGATATGAACTTCAGGCTGGCCCCTTGCTGACTCCCCTTTCTTTGGACTATGTTTCCTAATTGGAATACAGTGGATGTTGGATATCCACAGGAGTTTGCAGCTAGGATCCCTCCTGTGGATACTAAAATCGGTGGATGCTCAAGTCCCATTATATGAAGTGATTTAGTAGAATGGTGTCCTGTATTAAAAATGGGAAAATAAAGGTTTGCTTCTTGGGTTTTTCAACTACATTTTCAAGCTATGGATGGTGGAATCCACAGATACAGAATCCGCCGATACGGAGGGGCAGCTGTATTGTACCTAATGTGCCTACAAGTCCCAGAATCCCCGTTATAGTATTCTGTGGTTGTAATTTCAGAAAAGAAACATTGACAAGCTCAAGTCAGATGAATTTTTTTTTTTTGGTCATGTCAGGAGCGACTTGAGAAACTGCAAGTCACTTCTGGTGTGAGAGAATTGGCCGTCTGCAAGGACGTTGCCCAGGGGACGGCCGGATGATTTGATGTCTTTATCATCCTTGTGGGAGGCTTCTCTCATGTCCCCGTATGAGGAGCTGGAGCTGATAGAGGGAGCTCATCCGCCTCTCCCCAGATTTGAACCTGCGACCTGTCGGTCTTCAGTCCTGCCAGCACAGGGATTTAACCCACTTCGCCACCGGGGGCTCCATAATCAGATGATCATGAATATGGGAGACGTGCCACCATTCCTTTTTGATCTCAAGCAGCAAAATGTTTTTTGTCAGCCTTGACTGCAAATGCCAATCATGTGGCCATTCTGCAAAGGTATGGCTGTATTCCTACACCGTGATAAATGAGAGACAAGAGGCCCTTCCACACAGCCATATAACCCAGAATATCAAGGCAGATAATCCACATTATCTGCTTTGAATTTGATTATCTAAGTCCACACTGGCATATAATCCAGTTCAAAGCAGGTAATGTGGATTTTATCCAACTGTGTGGAAGAGACCTAGAATGCTGAAATATCGTTGTCTTTGGGCCCTTCCTCACTGCCCTATATCCCAGAATATCAAGGCAGAAAATCCCACAATATCTGCTTTGAACTGGATTCTCTGAGTCCACACTGCCATATATTTCAGTTCAAAGCAGAAAATGTGGAATTTTATTCAGCTGTGTGGAAGGGGCCTTCGTGAACATAGCAGCCCTATCACAGGGTTTCCTTGGAAAGATTTGTTCAGGGTGTGTTTGCCTTTGTGTTCCTTTGAAGATGAGAAGGTATGACTTGCCCAAGGCCACCCAATGGGTTTTAATGGCCAAGTTGGGATTTGAACCCTTGCCTCCAAAGTCTACACCATAAGCCAATGGCTCAGGCATCAGCACTGATCCAAGGACCACCACCTTGACTACGGTAGTTCAGATCTAGTGGTTTCCTACTGTGTTATGGGATCTGTTTCCATATTAGCATTCATGGGTTGCATAAAGCAATAATGTAATTATGCTTCATTGTAGAAAATAATGGCACTCAATACAATTGTTTTTTCTATTCATAGATTCTACTTCCACAGGTTAAACAAACCAAGGCTCAAAACGTATATATATATATATATTTAAAAAAATCCAAAGAGCAAACTTTGATTTTGCCATTTGATATAATTGATGCTATTTTAATATACTATCTGATATAACAGGACTTGAGCATCCACAGATTTTGGAATGCTTCAAACCAAATTCCAGTAGATATGAAGGGCCTAGCACAATGCTGTATTAATACTTCACAATAGATGGAGTTTGCTTCTCTTATTAATATTATGGTCACTGTTGTTGTTATTGCTCCACCTTTGCCATCAATGAAAGGAAGTAAACATTTTGGGGAGCAGTCTAGTCTTTAAGTTGAATTTTAATTGTATTTTATTGTATTTTAACTTTTGCACTCATGACACAAATATTTAATTATTTTTTAATGTTTATAATCATATGTATGTGTTTTTGCCTTGCTTTTTAAGTTCTATTGTATTGTGCCATGACATTGTTAGCCTTTTAAATCCCTGTGGGGAGAAAGGCGAGATAAAATAATAATAATATTAATAATTTTATTATTATACATATCTGTCTTCCATTCCTCTTTGGTCCTAACTCATGCTGAGCATAATCCCAATCAGTTTCGTGGCTCACTATGGATTATAACACGAATCTCTCAACTCCAAGTCCATCCCCGCTTTTCAGTTCTTGCTCCTTTAATTGCCTATCGAATGAGAAAAGAAGGTCCCTGATCACATCCCTGGCAAGTCCTATTGCTCTTAGGGGTTGACCCTCTTTTTCCTTTGCAGGGTGGCCAGATCCTGCGTGTTTCCACAGCCCTGAGCTGCCTGCTTGGCACGCCTTTACGGGTGAGGAATATTCGGGCTGGAAGGAGTCAGCCTGGCCTTAGGTAAAACTTTTTTGTGGGGCTATTTACTTTTAAAACAGTGATTATTGGGATATAGATACATGTGTGTAATTAACTACTAATTAAATGTCCAGCCAGACAGAAGATGAAGAAGATGGGACACATATAAAAATACTTGGTGAAAAGGAGCTACTCTATCAGATGCTTTATTATCAGATGTATGCCTGTGTAAAGGCCCCACTTTGTGTGTCCCTTCTCTAGAAGTGTCTCCAAGCCTTGACAATACTCATTGTTTGACTGTATTTTATTCCTGCTTAGCCACTCTCCCACAGTGTGGTATGGACAGTGGTCACACCAAAAGTTGGCTGCTTTTCTGCAGTGGCCATACACACAGGTGGTGTTTATGTTCTAACTAGTTCTCTTGGTTTGAAGGCCTCAGCACCTGTCTGGACTGGAAATGGTTCGAGCCCTGTGCGATGGGAAGATGGAAGGGGGAGAAATCGGGTCCACAGAAGTAACTTTCACGCCTGGAAAGATCAAGGGTGGAACCCATCTTGCAGATACCAAAACAGCTGGGTACGTTTCTGTGCATTTGATGGAACTCATCTGTGTTATTAAAAAATTGGGGAATCTTTGTCTCTCTGTATGATCTGGCCTATAATCTCCAGTCCCCACCAGCATGGCCAGTGCTAATGGATTGTGGGACTTGTAGTAACTGATCAATTATGTTTGGCATGTGGGACCTGAACTGGGAAAGCCTGGGTTAAAATTCTCATTAAGCCGTGAAGCTCAGTTTGTGATGTTGGGCCAAACCCTCTTCCACCTAGTTTATCTCACATCATTTGTTGTGAAAATACAATAGTGGAATCCCTTAAATTCCTTGGAGGAAATGCAGGGCATAAAAAAATCCTGCCTTGTCTCCTATTCCCGCCATAGGAGTGTTTGCCTGCTGATGCAAGTCGCAATGCCCTGTGTGTTGTTTGCAGCCGCTCCTTCCGAACTGCATTTGAAAGGTGGCACCAATGCAGAGATGGCTCCCCAGATTGACTATACAGTGATGGTAAGTGATACTTTGTCTATGATGGATCCTTTGATCCCACATTCCAAGTAGTCTTTCCCCCTCCCACATATAATAGTGTCATAGTAGATTTCTGTGCCAGTATATAAGAACACTAAAGGTGTATCTACACTGTACACTTAATGCAGTTTGGCATAACTTTAACTGCCACAGGACTGGTATTTATTGTTTGTTGAGGGACAAGCATTCTTTGGCAGAGAAGTCTGAAGACCTTGTAAAACTACAAATCCTGTGATTCCATACCATTGAGCTATGGCAGTTAAAGTGGTGTCAAACTGCATTTGGTATGGATTCTTCTTGAAAGCTTCTTGAATTTACGTCACAGGACCTGGACATATGCCAAACAAGTCTACAGATGTTACTGTCCCTTAAATACTTTTATTTGTTGCCTTGCATTGAAATCGTAGTGTGTTTTTGATAGGGAAGAGACAACAGTGTGAGAGAATGTTTCCTCAACAAATCATGCCAAGAAAACCACACAGTAGGTTTGCTTATAAATTGAAAATAGCTTGAAGGCATACAACAACAACAACAACAACAAATTTGGCCAGCAAAGTATTTTTTTTTTTACTAGTCTATTACTATTTCTTCAAACCATTCAGTCATACGTTGTTGAAATGAATAATAATAAAAATAAATAATTAAAAACTTTATATTCCACCCTATCTTCCCGGAGGGACTGTAAGGACCACTAAGTGTCAAGAAATACCTTTCTTTTTGCACCATAAACTTCTGTCGGAGCAGTTGGATTTCATCCTTCCCATTCAAAGCCATCTGCTTTTACTAGTCTTTTATTTTCATTACTGAAGTACACCTGAATTGAAAAGGTTCTGCATGTTGTTTATAAAAATTGAGAAAGATCAAACAAAAATGATGGGATCTAAAAAAGTTTACTCTCAGTGAGCCTTCGAAATGCAAAGCAGCAATCCTAATTCTATCTAGTGATATGGCATTTCTGCATTAATTTGGCCAGTAATTGGTTTCTCTAGAGCAGTGGTTCACAACCTATGGGTCCCCAGGTGTTTTGGTCTACAACTCTCCGAAATCTCAGCCAGTTTACCAGCTGTTAGGATTTCTGGGAGCTAAAGGCCAAAACATCTGGGGACCCACAGGTTGAGAACCACTGCTCTAGAGCAGAGGTCCTCAAACTAAGGCCCGGGGGCCGGATACGGCCCTCCAAGGTCATTTACCCGGCCCTCGCTCAGGGTCACCCTAAGTCTGAAATGACTTGAAAGCACACAACAACAACAACAATCCTATCTCATCAGCCAAAAGCAGGCCCACACTTCCCATTGAAATACTAATAAGTTTATATTTGTTAAAATTGTTCTTCATTTTAATTATTGTATTGTTTTTAAGTGTTTTTGCACTACAAATAAGATATGTGCAGTGTGCATAGGAATTCATGTTTTTTTCAAATTATAATCCCCCTCCAACAGTTTGAGGGATTGTGACCTGGCCCTCTGTTTAAAAAGTTTGTGGACCCCTGGTCTAGACTAATAATGAACATGTAGCCTTTCAGATTGTGTTGGACTGTAGCTTTCACTGTTGTTTGTCCTGCTTGGGGATAATGGTGCAATCCCATTATGTGTGGAAATCCATACATTTGTCCTTGCTATAGTCAGATCCTAAATTTGAATGAAAAAAGGCAAACTGTCATAATTCTTCTTCTGGACGAGAGAAGGGTATAGTAGTTTATTCTGCTTTGAGCCCTGTCTCTAGTATACATGAAATGTTAGCTCGGTTTAGGCTTAGTGTCAATAATTACTTTGAGATCTCATAATGTCACCTCTCCTTTTTTATCATGCAAGGAGGAGTGATTAGAATTGTTTGCTTTTATTTTGAAAGAAATCTTTATTTGCCACTTTTGTCCAAGTGCATAAAACTATTCAACAAAAACCATTTTTTAAAACCGTAGTTACAAACTACACTTGTATTTTGAATTGGAATCCTTGTTTGGGCGTAAAGTATTGCTTGTGGAAACTCATTTTTTTCTGCAGTTGGACAAAAAGAAGGGAAAGTTTCTCCAATCATTTCCAATCACTACCCAAAGGAAAGAGGAATGGGGAAAAAAAGTATGCAAGCCCAGTGGTATCTAACTCTCTTCCGAGTTAGATACTTACATTTCCTTAAACACCATCATAGAACAGAATCTTTCAGTCATTAGAGGATTTCATATGTGTTTTTCAACAAATCTGTTTACCTTCCAGGTCTTCAAACCAATTGTTGAGAAGTTCAATTTGACGCTGGACTGTATTATAAAAAGGAGGTAAAAACTCATTATCACACGTGGTTTTATGTTTAGTTTCTAAGTAGTGAGTACATGTGATCAGCAGCTCTTCTGCATTTTCAGTAACAGTGCAAGAACAACATGTTGCAATGGAAGAGTTCTTTTCTACATAACCTGCCCAATTTCTGTGTCTCTACAGAGGGTACTACCCCAAGGGCGGTGGTGAAGTGATGGTCCAAATATCCCCAGTTAAGCAGCTAAGCCCAATTACATTAACTGACCGTGGCACGGTCACAAAGATACATGGAAGAGCCTTTGTTGCAGGAGCTTTGCCAATCAAAGTAAGTGTGTTCAGTAATCTGAAGTGGGATGGAGAAGATGCGTTTCCTATATTATGGGTGAGATCCAGACCTAATCATACTTAAATTATATTTACTGAAATGAATAGGGCATGTTAGATATCATCCCTGTATCCACAGTCCTGGTATTCACCATTTTATTTATTCATGTCTGACAAAATATGTGTCTCTAGACATTTTTAGGTGACATGTGAATGAAGGGAAAGGAGGAATGAAGGAAAGAAAAAAAGAAAGAAGGGAGGGAGAAAAGAAGAAAGAAAAAGGAGGGAAGGAAAAGAAAGTTAAGGGTAAAAGAGAGGGAAAGAGAAAGAAGGGAACACCAGGCCAGTGCTGGGTATATACACTAGTAAAGTGTATAAACTTTACTAGTGTATATACTAGTTTACTTATAAAAATGAGTTTTTATTGACTTGATTATAGAGAAAAAGTTTTTTTAGTAAAGATTAATTTACCACTGTGTACATGTACAAAAGATACTTGGAAAACGATGTGTCTCATTGTGTCAAGTAGAAGAGAACATTTTACATTCCAGTTTGAATGTACATTTTCCAGTCCACAAACAGAAGGAACTAAGGTCCTCTGTAGACATATGTTGGAGCAGTGGTTCTCAACCTGTGGGTCCCCAGGTGTTTTGGCCTCCAACTCCCAAAAATCCTAGCCAATTTACCTGCTGTTAGGATTTCTGGGAGTTGAATGCCAAAACATCGGAGGACCCACAGGCTGAGAACCACCTGTGGTGGAAGGGATAAAGGCAATTTTTGCCGACAACTATTTACATATAACTGTGCTACTTTATGTGTTGTTTTGTATGATCTCCTAACCTTGTTCAGTGGATTGAAGGGGAATAAATGAAAACTGCCCTCTTCCTCTGCTCCCTTTTCATAGAACCATAGAATAACAGAGTTGGAAGAGACCACATGGGCTATGTAGTCCAACCCTCTGCCAGGGAAGTCTTTTCTTCCATCCCAGGAAGTCTGAACCTAACCCATTGTGTGCAGCTGTTTCTTACATGGATTTTTTTTACTCCAGAATTATTTCTCAGCAGAATCATCTATATGCAGCTCAAAGCTTCTGTATGATTTAACCATTGTACTGGTTTTGTTCTGTAATATCTTTAGATAGCAAAAGACACGGCTTCAGCAGCAGTGAGATGTATTAGAAAGGAGGTCCGGGATCTCTATGTCGATATACAAACGGTTCGAGAACCTGACAATGAGGCCTTTGGAACTGGAACTGGAATAATGTAAGTAGGTTCAAATGGTGCAGTGTTTCCATTCAGAAAGTATTTTCCAGCCAAGTGAAAGCAATAGGTTTGAATCTGAGTTGACTTATTGCAACTGAAACCCATAGGATTATGTGTAGTACATGGATTTGTTTTCCATGATGTGAAATCCCCCATGGTATACTGGTTTGAGTGTTGGATTGGTCTCTGGAAGACCAAGGCTCAAATCCCTGCTTGATCATGGAAACCCATTTGTCACCTTGATCAAGACACACACTCTTAGCCATAGAGGAAAGCAATGACAACTCCCCTCAGAATAAAACTTGCCCGGAAAACCCTACGTTTGGCTCTCTAAACAAGATGGTAGTCATGGGGATACAACTATTTTGTGAAATATGACAATTGCAAAGGCAGAATTGTACAGTTGGAAGAGATCACAAGGACCATCCAGTCCAACCCCATGCCATGCACAAACACACAATCAAAGGTGTTAACCTAGTAGAAGCAAGAGTATATACTGTGTGTGTATGTGCGTGTATGTATATATGTAGGCCACAAAGTGGAAAATAGTGTTAAGTGAACATTAATCCACTGAAATCAATAGACTGATAATTCCTCAGAAAGGAGTTAGGAAAATGGTCTTAAGTTTGAAGACATAATTTGCATCCAAAGTGACTGTAAATCTTGGACCTACATGTATGTTTATGTACATTATCAAAGCTCAGCAAAGGATATTTTCTGTACATAATTACTTTGATCTGTTTCTTTTTCATCTCTCGCAATTTTTTTAAAATTAAGAATTGTTGCAGAAACGTCCACTGGCTGTTTACTAGCAGGATCATCCCTTGGAAAAAGAGGTGAGATTTATGGCGTGAAGCCACTTCTTTATAGAATTTAGTCCTTCACAAAAAGCTGGCTTTTCTTGATGTTACAAGTCAATGTGGTTTAGTTATTATATTACCGGGGATCTTTTTTTATTTATTTATTTCTCAGGTTTATAGTCCACTCCTCTCCCAGGTAGTTCAAAGTAAGATTTTTTTTAAAATAAATTTGCGGCCATATGGTGTGAAAATTCAACTGTAAACCTAGACAGAGTGCAAACAAGGTTTATAAGAGATCTTCTAAATATGTATCAAATGTGGTCCTGCTCCTAGAAATGGGCGAATGTCCATTGAGTACCAGGGCCTGGACTCTGAAAACGAACTTATGGTTAATAAGCAAAGGCATTTAAACTGGGAACAGGTTTACTACATATCTCCCCTATAAAGCTTCCAAACCTCTTTGAGCGAGGAGGATTGAATGGAAGATGGCCACAATTGGACTATCTGCATCCCTTTTGCTCCAACTGGGATTCAAAATGGCACAAGAATCCCCGAAGCAAAGGTTCCAGGACATTGCCCTGGGAGAGCTAAGAGCCTGCTCAAATTCACCTTGCTCCCCCAGTGTCTTCAGCTTGCCATACAGAGAGCCATTTAAGACATGTGAATACCTAAAAAACCTTAGTGATCAAATATTGCAGACTCTTTACAAAGGCGAGATTAAACATTTTTCTCTCAGAGCTGCTAAGAGGCAGATTGTCTGGAACTTCTTATGCTCAAAGACTATGCCCCTGTGAAGGTAATGAAGTAGAAGCAATAGAACATATTTTATTGAAGTGCCACTATTACACAGTGCCATGTAGCCAATTTTTATATTGAATTTCATCCTGCATGGCCAGACATCCCCTGCAGGGGATTATTAGATATCCTTTGGAGGACAAGTGCCACAGGGTGACCCTCATAGTGGCAAAATTCCTTATAGTGGCAACAAGGCTGAGAAAGAAGCCAACCTTGGACATGGGTATTACTTAAAACCATGTATACTAATTTTGGACAATGAGATGGGATAATTTTTGATGACTGTTTGTTCACTGATGGTTATATGAACCATAATAAACTGTTGTTGTTGTTTTTGTTCAAGTAAACAAATTCAGGTATTACAGGTAAATTAAAAACAACATGTAAAATACAACAGGAAGAAAATAAAAAAGCATGCTCCAAAGAAGCTAATAAAAGTAGGAAATATCAATTTTTCAGCAAAGCTAATTTAATGACCCTTCCCACTTCTCTACTCTGTTTCAGTTTGCTGGGATAACAAGTTATATCTAATAACTTAGTTTTATACTACTTTCTGAGAATTTGAGGGTGAACCAAGTTGTGCTAAAACAGATTTCTGAAACGTGCAGCATAATGTTGTAACCCACAATTGTACTTTTTCCATTTTAAAAAAGGTAAAAGTGCTGACAAAGTTGGAATTGAAGCAGCAGAAATGCTGCTTGGCAATCTACGACATGGAGGAGCCGTGGATGATTACCTGCAAGACCAAGTAAGAGGCACATGTAGTAGTAGTAGTAATAATTATTATTATTATGTATTGTCGAAGGCTTTCATGCTGGAATCACTGGGTTGTTGTAGGTTTTTTCGGGCTATATGGCCATGTTCTAGAGGCATTCTCTCCTGACGTTTCGCCTTCATCTATGGCAAGCATCCTCAGAGGTAGTGAGGTCACTACCTCTGAGGATGCTTGCCATAGATGCAGGCGAAACGTCAGGAGAAATGCCTCTAGAACATGGCCATATAGCCCGAAAAAACCCACAAGAACCTAATTATTATTATTATTATTATTATTATTATTATTATTATTATTTTATTTCTTACCCATCTTTTCTCATTGGATGAGGCAGCTTACAGCATAATTAAAAAAAACAGAAACATAGTAAAAAAGATATAAATTATATAAAAAGTATCTCATTCAACCAACAACATCTGCCCAGGGCAGAAGGAGACATCAATCAAAACAAGAAAGCCATAATATCAGGATGGATTCTTCCCTACATTGCATTGAGATCTTGGGAATTTATTGTACCATTATCCAGAATTTTCCTCATTGTTTTTATAGGCACACTTCAGCATGGACCCTTTAAACTATAAATATGGCTTTATACACTCAGTTGGAAGAAAAGCTTAAAAACCAAATCTATTTACACCAAGGCACGACCCCTCCACTCAGGACAAGCAAGTGTTTGAACATATAGAACAGTACACAGAGCAGTTTTCTTAATAGTTGTCCCCACACTGGGTTTTCTTCTCCTCTTTGGATCTCATCAATATCCTGCTATTATAGGACACTGGAGTAAACTGGCAAAATGTTGGGTGTTTCATACACTTTACAGGACAACCTTGTTCATTGTTGCAGCTTTAATTGATTTACCTGAATTGGTCACCCTCTGTCCTGCTTCATGGTAATTGAGTGCTATCAATACAAATAAATAAATCTAAATGTAAAAAGATGCTAGAGGAGGCATGTAGTTACGGATCCCTGCTTTGACTAGGTTCATCCTGATGTCATTAAACACCATGATGTCCTGTTTGATCACTACAACGCTTAATCGTGATTGTTTTGTTTCCTTTCCTTCCAAGTTGATCATTTTCATGGCTTTGGCAGATGGGATCTCTCGAGTGAAAACAGGACCGATTACTCTCCATACAGAAACTGCTATCCATTTTGCAGAGCAGCTGACCAAGGTGAGTGCATAAGATCAGCACATCTGCCAAGTTCTGCTTTTGTATGTTTGTAGCAAAACTTGGGCTGGCTCAAAGTAAGACCAAGATACAGTCAACCATGTCCGTCGGGGATACATTCCTGGACTTCACATGAATATGCAAAACTGTGGATAATAGCAAACGTAATTGAAATTATGGACTTCTGACTCAATAATACCACAGAGTCATGCTGGGGAGACCTAGAAAATGCCTAGAAAGTTCCTATTTTGTCAGGTGTGGATAAATGAAACTGAGGGTATTTACCTTGTGGATATGGTGGTTATACTGTACTGGTAAAGAATGTAACACTATTATATCTTACTTCTCTATTGCATGTATGGAAGCCAACCAGACTGGCAATGCCCAGTTCTCGGAGTCTGATTTCATATTTGATATCTTGTACACTGCTTTGTTGTAAACCATATATAATTTGGGTTGTAGGTTTTTTGGGCTATATGGCCATGTTCTAGAAGCATTTGTTCCTGATGTTTCACCTGCATTTGTGGCAAGCATCCTCAGAGGTTGAGAAGTCTGTTGGAAACTAGGAAAATTGGGTTTTTATATCTGTGGTATGTCCAGGGTGGGAGAAAGAACTCTTGTCTGTTAGAGCCAGGTGTGAATGTTTCAACTGGCCACCTTGATTAGCATTTGATGGCCTGGCAGTTTTTTAGTGTGGCTTGTTACTGCCTGGGGGAGGTGTTTTTGTTGAGAGGTGATTATCTGTCCCTGATTGTTTCCTCTCTGGAGTTTCCCTGTGTTTGAGTGTTGTTTTACTGTTATAATTTTAGAGTTTTTTTTAATAGTGGTAGCCAGATTTTGTTCATTTTCATGGTTTCCTCCTTTCTGTTGAAATTGTCCACAAGCTTATGAATTTCAATGGCTTCTCTGTATAGTGATTCCAGCCATGAAAGCCTTTGACAATACATATATAATTTTATTCTAAGTGGGGAGGGTTTTTTCAAATAATAATAAAACTATTTCAGGGCACTATCATTAGGAGATGTGGATTGTGGTGCCTCCCCAACTTTGATAGGGGCAGTCAAGTGATGGAACTGACATCACAATCATTTTGACGCTAAGTCATGATGTTTTGATTTGCTTGAGCATTTTAAGTGCTTGTATTGCTTCTCCTGATTATAAAGTTTAATGGTTTACTGCTTCTCAAGTAGTATTGTTTTTATAGTGGTGCTTTATTTGTTACTTTAGGGTTTATACCATGCTCTGAGTTCTGTTTGGATGAACTGAAATAAAATATTTTTATTACTTTTTAAATTTGCAGGCTAAATTTACGGTGTCAAAGTCAGAAGATGATGGTTCGTCCAAGGATGCCTACATTATTGAGTGCCAAGGAATTGGACTGTTAAATGCCAACTTATAGGTTCTGCTAATTTTTTATTTAAGAATTACCTCCGCAATGAATTGCACTACATTTCACCTAGACATTTGAGAAGAGATAATGTGATTAGAAAGTGGTCTGAATTAGTTCCACCGAAGGATGTTGGGGTTTCTCATCTTGTGGAGTCTTCCGTTTTTTTTCTATGAGAATGAAACACAGAGAAGTAGCTGATCATTACAGATACTGCTGAGCTGGAAAGCAATAATTTCAGCATTAAAAATGACTTCTGTGATTCAGTCATTCTTAATTTTTTCCCCAAGCACTGCAATAGAATATACACAAAAGTACAGCAGCCACCGTCTACATTTGTTTGAAATTTCTGTAACCATTTGTTGGACATGATTCCACCAAAATAAAACAATCTCAGCAGATGAATATGTTTGCAGCTAATTTTTTTACAGATCTTCATAGTTTTATAATTACCATAGCAATGTTGGTTAGTAACAATGGCACTATTCAGGACTGTGGGGAGGTTTCAATTATCAAATAAAAAGCTGCAGTGTAAAAAAAATGTACATTGAATATTTAGAGGTGTATTTTCCTTCGTTAAATAGTGT